TCCATCCATCCATCCATCCATCCATCCATCCATCCATCCATCCATCCATCCATCCATCCATCCATCCATCCATGCACATACACATGCACATGCACATCCACATCCACATGCACATGCACATACACATACACATACATATACACATACATACACACATACAGACATACATACATACATACATACATACATGGCTCAAGCCATTTGAGGTCTCAACCTGGTCCCATACAAAGTCCAGGCACAGGACACACGCCATTGGAGCCGAGCCCGTCATCCACGAGGGCATTGGACTCCTTTGCCCGTGATCCTCGACTCCAACTTCGACATTTCTGTTGAGACCTTTGGCACCTGGCAAGTTCTCGCCCTGCACAAGGCCTACGACACCTTGCGGTACGAGCGCAGCCTTAGGGACATTGTGCACTACCACTTTGCCCGTGATCCCTACATCCCTGAAGACGCCTTTGGCCAGAACGTGATCGGGGCAGTGATCATGGACTGGTGCAGGGCCTACACCCCTTGCAGCAAGGCCACATGCAACAACTGGATATGGCAGGACAAGCTGTATCCTGGCAACAGGTGTCGTCGCTGTGGCACTATGTGGACGACAGCAAGCACTACCACAGGAAAGGGTAAAGGCTATGGTAAGCCTGCTGGCAAGCTCATCAAGGCTCCAAGATCCTGGCCCGAAGCTCCTCCCGGTTTGCCAAAAGTCAAGCCACTCAAGAAGACTAAGGTTCAACAAGAGGCCACCGAACTTTTGGCCTCCACTTGGACCACTCTGACTGAGGACACTCAGCATCGCTTGCAGGCCATAGGCATTGGCCCCACCAAGCCAGATGAACCAGAGCTCAAGGATGTGCTCAAGTCACACATGGAGGCCCTTCCTCAACAAGTTCAAGACCTGGTCAATAAATTGACCACCCCTGAGCCCTATACTGAACGTGAAATTGCAGCCAAGCTCAAGGGTCGTGTGACGGAGCTCAAGAATCTTTCCATGAGAAAGACCCAACTCCAGGCCAAGATCGACAATGTCAAAGCTCAATATGCAGCTCTGTTGACTGACATGCAGGAGCTCCAGGGCAAGCTTACCGAGGGTCAGCAGTCACTCAAGACGCTCTCGGATGACTACATGAAGGCGGTCAATCAGACCCCAACTCTTTCTGAACTGCCGACGGCCCATGGCGAAGCTGAACAGATTCCCATGGCGGTTGAATCCTTTGTCCATAGCTTGGGCATCTCTTTGACAGACGAGCAGAAGACTCAGCTGCATGGTCTCCTCAAGCGACCCAACAATGAGCAGGAGGACCCCACCAAGCGGCGGAAAACCGACATGCCAACTCTTGGGAAATCTGGACAGTGTGGGTAACATGAGCTCACTCATGTTTCAGGGGTGGACTTTCCCGGTTCCGGAAGATGACCTCATGTCATGTGAAGGCCAAGAAAGTCCGAGTTTGACACCAACCAGTGATGCTTTAGATTTTGTTGCGGATCGGCCATTGACAGTGCAATCACCAACAACACCGGTTTGCCGTGCTGTCACAGGCTCAGAGACGCTTACGGGGTTTTCAGCGTTGAGTGCAGGGGCAAATGCACTATAACCAGCTGAGCAATACAACAGACAGAGCTTTTCTACCTTGAGCAACGAAGATTCCACTCTTGGTAGACCAGAGCAACAGACCAGTTTTGAGCAACACCGACAGACAAACATTTCTCAGAGCACTCTCACTCCTCGGGCGCCTGATGGTTTGACCTATCTCTCCATTTTGGGAGGAGCACCTACTGGCACCTGGACAACACAGAGTCAGACCACGGTGGCATCAAACATGCAGAACTATGCCACATCCACCGATTGCATCCTCCAGAACCTCACCATGGTGGTTGGCAATCCAAGCCTCAGGTGTTTTGCTAATGCACCTTGGAGAGCTTTCACTTGGGTGTGCGCTTTGCTCCAAGAAACCAGCACCCAACCATGGGGCACGATCCAGGAGGCCGTCCAAGAGTCCATCGACACCGCAGAGCCAGTGGATCTGCAGGCCTTGCCAGGCTTGAGAGACCTATGGAAGCAACATGATCTGAACACCCAAGGCGATGCAAATCATTTTGTCAACTCTCTGTGGCTTCAGTCCCAAAGCAGAGCATTTCACTATCGCTTCGCAGAAATCCGTGAAGGAGGATACCTCACAGATCATGTGCAGCAGCCCATCTTGGTTCCCTTTCCGGATGATTGGCCTGACAATGTGACCTTCCAACAATTGGTGAACAATTGGGCCAATCAGGGCATGGGGCAATACTTGCTGGACGACAAGAAGATATTGGTATGCCATGTCACCAGGAATACCTGCATTGAAGGTGAAATGACGAAGCATCAAAAACCCTTCAATCCATATGGCACCTTCACTGTGCCACGGTCTTTGGATGGCTTTTCTCGCACATCCACCGAATTTGTCCCGGCAGTCCTGATATGCCACCAGGGCCGGACCCACCATGAGGGCCACTACTTTGCTATCTTGATCTACAGGGACCTCATGTGGATCGCGGATGATGGCAAGGTTCCACAGCACCTGCCACACTTGACACCGGCCCTGGCCAGTCAAATCACCCAAGTCTGGGCAGTCAACATCGATTGCTTTAAGACTCCACAACAAGTCCTGCAAGGGCTACCGCCAGCAGATGAGCCGGATTTTGATCCTCCGCTGCACCCCAGTCCTGTGAAAAGGGCCAGATATGCACAGGATCACAACTCCCTATACTATGCCAATGTCACAAACCTGGGCAAGCAAGTCATTGAATGGTACTGGACTCGTGACAGTGGCATCTACATCTTTGTAGAGACCCACTTGGACCCTCAAAAACATTGGGAGCTCAGCCAATATTTCAGCATCCGTGGCCGCACAGTCTTTGGCACACCTGCGGAACCGAACCAGGAACAAACAGGCACTCATGGAGGCATCATGGTTATCGCTGATCCAGCCTGTGGCCTCACGCCATTCCAGTCTTACACCAACAAAGGCTGTGGCTATCAAAGCTTTCTCTGGCAAGCCACCGAAACCACCATTCTGGTTGTTGGCCTTTACTTGAGGACTGGGGAGACCTTTCAAAGCGACATCAACTCGGACATCCTGGCCCAGTTGTTGTCACTGCTGACCCAAACAACACATCCCTATGTGCTCATTGGTGATTGGCAGAATCCACCTAGTGCCTTGGCCAGTACTGTCCTGTCTTCCAAATTTCACTTCGGCATTTTGGCACCAGATCACAGTGTACTGTCTGGCAACACCATCGACTATGCGGTACTCCACAACTCTCTTGCAGGCACCACCTCGCTCCAAGCACATTGGGCAGTTCCTTGGAGACCACATGCACTGCTCCAATTGACTTTTGACATTGAAGCTGCAACCATGGAGTATCGGCAGATGCCATACTTCCCGCCCATGCCCAAGGTGCCTGACATAGATTTTCGACCGTGGACCACTTACCAATCCCAGGCCAACAGCCTAGACCTGTACGGCATTCCTCCCAATGAAGCGGCTCAGGCATGGGCAGATTGGTTGTCCAAAACAGAGCAATACCTCCTCCAGGAGAACCCGTGGGCAGCTCAAGGCCGTGGCCATCATTTGCAAGCAGTCACAAAGCCTTTGATGCTCCAGCCAAAAGGACACACCTGGCGCAAGGGTCGCCCAGCCTTTTGGGATCAGATCAAGGCTGCCTTCCACCTGGCCTTACAAATGCCCCCGGATGTTCAATCTGGCCCAATCCGGGGTTTTCATCAGCGACTGCTGAAAGTGCCACAGCAATGGATTGGTGCACCTACACGGAGCCAGTTTCTGGACACGTGCCATCATTGGATCAGATATCGAGATCCACATGCGGCTGAGTTGATCCTGCAAACCATGACACATCAACTTCAGGAAGCACAACAGCATGCCCAGGAAGAAAGCACTTTGCAGTACCGCCAATGGCTTCAGGAGGGACACCAAAAGGGCCTTCGAGGGCTCTTCCGCAGTTTGAAAAGCAGCGAATTAGCCTGGGAACGGCCGTATCGCATGACACCAATGCCACAAAGAATGAACCAGAGACTTGCTGACTGGGGTGGGCTTTGGAAGATTCGTCAGGACAACGACCCCGCACCGAGACCCGACCTCAAGCTCCAGGCTCAAAGGCAAGCCCAGACACTGGAACCCATTACACCAGGACAACTCCAACGAGCCCTCAAGGCCATGCCAGAGCGAGCCAGCGGACCAGATGCAGTTTCAGTTCAAACGCTCAAGGCAACACCTCCATTGGCTCTGACACCCTTGCTGCAGCTGTTGCACCAGATGGAGAGGATGGCTGAACTTCCAACCCAACTGCAAATGCATCTTGTGGTCATGCTGCCCAAGAACCAAAAGCTCGAGCGGCCAATCACCCTCACATCCACACTGTGGCGATTGTGGTGCAGGCTCCGGAAACCACTGCTGGACCAATGGCAGAGGCTGCTGCCTGAAACCATGAGTCATGACAAGGCAAGACCAGGGGCGAATGTCCTCCATGTGGCTTTGGCCAGACTCCTCCGCCAAGAGGTCACTAAGGCCAGACAGAAGCATGGCATCACTGTCCTCATGGACATGTCCACCTTTTATGACACCATCAACCTATGCCGCCTGCAGGAAGAGGCCATTCGCTTGGACTATCCACCACTCATGTTGG